CCGGACTAAAACACTGCCCCAGAGTTTCTAAACTTCTCCGTTCTAATGGTTCTTTCGCCCGGGCAACACTGGCTGCATGAGCTGCACGTGTCCGATTGGAAACATTTAGCTTTTCATTTAGTCAACCGTTATCAGGTAAGAGCTTCCACACTTCCTGCATGAGCCGCACTGTTCCTCTTGAGAGTCTAGATTACACGTATTTTCTCTGCCGTGCACGGTCACAGCAAAATATTCAGTGAAAATGATCTTTCAGCACAGTTAAAATGTCTATCCGTCAAATGTGTCACAAACATAAATATTTGCAACCCTAGTGTCATGGCATTTAGTTGAGCATGCAGCCTGACTTTTATTTCGAGGAAATACAGTAGTCACACCAGAAATGTTTTGCAGCTCCGCTACAGACAGGCAACAGATGTGCTGCCTATGTGAACAACAGATGCCCACAACACAAAGCAGACCCGCGGCGAAATAGTCATGCACCACTCACCCAGCCAGTGCTGCCCGGGCGTCTAACTCTGGGGTAGTGTTAATGTCAGGCTCATCCATTGCAGAATGCTTTTTCAAATTAAAATGTAGTATTATGGATGTAGCCTTACTGTTACACTAGGGGGAGTGAGACTGTCCTTAACTCTGACATTTATAAAGTGTCAAAGAACAGTTATTGTTTGCCGCATTGATCAGCGACAGCAGGATGCAAAGTCACAAATGTATCTACTTTCTTGGAAAGGCTGAGGGAGGCATGCATGTGTATACAGTATGCACCATCTCTTAAGCTTTCCAATCAATTGCAGTTTGTTTTCAAGCTTCATTGATTTTCCCAAATGGCTGTCATGACTTTGTGTTTGTGCTAATGAAAGGAAATCTGACTTTTACTACTTTCTCAGAAGGTCAACAGCTCTGCCAGCCGGTCACATTTATATCCTATTATAGTCTCCTGTATGTAGAGGAGACCAGACTGGACGTCACGTGTGTCGTCTGTATGTGTGCATCTGAGGACCTACATGTGTGTGTGTGTGTGTACCCTGTAGTTCTTTGGACATTTTTCATTTTTGCTCAGTCATCTGTCAGAGAGCACTACAAATATTTGCATGACCTTTGCTTCCTCTCTGCATCTCTCTTCCCTCTTCTTTTATAGTGCATCCATCTCTGCATCCATATCTGTCACTGTCTACCTTTCTCTATATCCCTAATTCATTTTTCTGATGGAGGGAAAACGCAGATAGATCTTCAGGTGCTTATGAAAAATCACAGTGTTTTCTTCAAGACAGCAGCACTGGTCTTAGTAATGGATTTGTCACATCACTGCATGGATTTTAATAATTAATGATCTTACTAAGCCAAGTCTTTAGTCCACCAGGCTGATAATGCCTTTCCAAGGTATGTACATGTTACACAAACATTTCTTCATTTTCTGCTTAGTGCATTTTCTTACTGAAAGGATTGTGTTGCTACAGGAATTGATAGATCTCACATTAAGTCATTAGAAATTAATGGTAAATATTCATGACCTTTGAACACATATTACATTTCACCCTGCCCCAATGCCAGAATCTTCTAGACAGCAAAATGGATTTAAAACCAAACCAGAGAGGATATTAAACAAAGGTGCAACTTAAAAAAAAGAAAATGCACCTCTTATAACCAGTCTTGTAAATATTTATAGGCTTTAATGACAAGGATGTATTCCTTTACTGTGGACGTTGATGTATTTAAGGGCCTATCTCACCATGTTATTAATGGAACAGAGGTCTTAATTATTAATAGGAGCATTATTAACAGCTATGCCGGGTTTCCCGGTCTGATTTTAAACATTTATAGAATTATTATTGGTGTGACAGAGCAAGAGCAAGAGATTGATCTCCCTGTGTGTGTGTGTGTGTGTGTTTCCCCACTGAAATAAGCGTTTGCTTTTATTTTGAAACATATGACTCATTGTAGGCTTTACAATCAAACTATAAAATTTAAAGTGTATGACACTCATCTGAAGTCATTCCTGATGTAAAAGTGTCAGCAGGTCATAGATGCGCAGTCATTCTGTATCACACACAAGCACACCATGCTATTTGGCTGCTACCACATGAACCAAACCTTGTGTTGAGACCACACTGGTCATTAAAAAGTGAAGTCATGAAATTGTTCTCTTTTTACGGCTACCGTGTTTCTCCACAGCTAATCAATGACTTTCTCAGTTACAGAGTATGTCTGGTAATCGAAATGTTTGCATATGAACTATGTGTGTGTTTGTGCGTGCTGTGTATGTCTATGTTTATCACATTTATTTCTTCTTGAGCCCACCCTCTTCCTTTTATGTGGGGTCATAAATTGTGTGTCTGTGTGTGCATGTGCATGTGCACACACACAGTGTTCTTTGGAGTGTTTATGTGTGTCTGTGTGCATAAATTAATGTTGTATACATTTTATCGCCTTATTCTCCCAGGCCCTCTGTCAATAAATCAGAACAGAGGGTGAGGGCATGTGCGTAAGCTGGAATAGAGCAGAGTAAATGAAGTGACTGTACATACAATAGCCAGAGCTGTGTAGAAAGGTATGTCAGAAACGTGCTGTATATGTGCAGTGCACCAGTTGTCTCTGTTACATGATATCCTTGTTGAAGAGCTGCCAGTTTGCCTCAGGTGAATCTCTCTGACTCTAACATTCTGCGTCACTACAGTCGATATGATGCTGAACAAGGTGATGAAGATGATATATACAGTAAAAATAATACAATGAGAAGTTTTAAAAATAAGCCATTTTGGATTTAACACATCAAAAAAGTGTAAGAATTTAATCGAAAAGGAAATATTGACATTTAAGTTCCAGTGTGTAGATTTTAGGGGATGTGATGTCAGGAATTCAGTATAATAATATGTTTTCAATATTGTACAAGCACCTTAGGAGCTTTGTGTGATAGTTAGCCTCATCAGCTCCTGTTTCGACAGTAGCCCAAAATCGACAAACAGATCACTGGCTCTAGGGGAGGGTCTTTTGTGTGTTTATGTTACGTGAAGGCCAATGTTGGTTCTTATACGCATTTGGAAGGGCAGGGTGATGCAAGTGAATACAGTTGGGTGCAATCTGCAACTTTGCCGCTAGATGTCAATAAATCCTACGTACTGTATCTTTAAACTGAAAAAGTGACAAGGCAATCTACACTAGAAAACGTGTTGGTCTTGGTCATGGGGTTCATTTCACTGCACTCTAAATCTGCTCTTTGCACAGTAGATGCTGTTTGTTACTGCTGACACAGCTCTCTGTCTCTCCGCAGCTAGAATATAGAGCAGAAACACACCCATATATACCCCCCCCCACACACACACACACACACACTGATCCACAGACTGACATTAGATTGTGTCTCATACAGTCCTAGATACAGTCTCTGCTGAGCATAAATGCAGTTTTTCTCAGTCTACCTTGTGACTCCAGTACCTCCAGGGAATTTTAAACCAGACACAGAATGAATGAATGAAAAGCTGGCAGTGCATTCAGTATTTCAATCTTTCTAAATATTAGATATTGTCATGAACATGAACACACATACTAAAAAGAAATGATAAAAGACAGAAGAGGGAGAGCAAAGAAGGACACTGGATGAAGATGTTAACAAAATCAAGCAAAGTCTCGATTTCTGAAATGTGAGTGTAAATCAAAAGTAATATTCAAAAAGTGCTTTTAATTTTAAATGCTACATTAAAGCCATATTTGTTAAGGTAGAGATGATCCATTAAGCCCTAAAATAAATTGTAAACCAATATGGAATCTGTGAGAAGTGCTTTTGTTTTCAAGAAAGAATAATTTTAGAGGAATGATTTAGTTTTGAATAACATGCAGGTCATTCTGTTGATGCTCACTATGCTTAGTATGAACCTTCCATGAGTAATAGTTAGGAAGCCACTGACCATATGTCCTCATTGCAACTGTGCTTGTTAATCTGTTATGAACCTTAATTCAACCTGCTGACCGTCATCATTGTGGAATGTTTCTGTTGGACAGACTTGTGACACATTTTATTCTTAGCTAATCTGTTTTTCTGGGCTTTGTGTATAGACACTGAATCACTGAATGGCATGTCTGAGAGAAAGACACTATTAAGAGGACACACACACACACAATCAATGCTAATGGACATAAAATTTTCTTGAAGGAAATCATTCTTTCATGAGTTTCTTATATTTTATCTTCAATTGTTTCATGTTGTGTATGATGCATGTGTATGAGTTAGTCAGTATGTCTCTGTGCCTTTATGTTGTGTGCATGATGATGGGCTCTCTGAAGTCTAGTAAGGGATAGGTCAGCATTTCATTAGTTACAAAACAGGGGATGTCCAGTTTCACAGAAACAACTAGGTTGGCGCTCTGTAGAATACAAACCTCCTCTCTAAGGAAGCACTTCTGCCTGACTACTCAGAAGACAAAGTCTACATAATGTCTGGGTAGAAAAGACAGAGAGCGGGTTGCTGTTTCAGACTTTTCGTAAAGCCTGATTTCTCATCAATGTGTTTTTCCTCCTTCCACCAACTTTGTGAAATATCACGCTGCAATTCTGATGCTGTATATGGGAACATATGTGTATGATATGGCTTTCCATATTTCCATTATGTGTGGGTGAGTGAATATGTGTGTGTGTGTGCACATGTGTGCATGACTCACAAGAGTGCCCAGGGTTCAGTGTTGTTGATATGCTGCGTATTTGCGATGAGAAAGAATATTTATAGCATGATTGATGTTTCTGTTTTCTTGCCTCTTGCGAGAGAAAAAAGAAATGTTGTGAAACAGATATAGATCTTAGCCGTCACAACTATTAAGAGGCAGATATGTGTGCATGTATTTAAACAATCATTCCTGCAGCCAGTTCTCACAATTAAATTTTTGCTTCTATTAACATTATACAAGTTACTTTCTTTAACATTTTTGCCTGCTTTTTTGTCTCTGTTTGTGTGTGCGTGGTTGTGTGTACCTTACTCTACCTGTTTGTGTGTGTTTGTGTATGTGTGCGTGTAGCAGTCTGGACAGGATCCAGCAGCTAAGAAGAGAGTACCAGCAGGCAAGGAGAGAAGGAATGGTACCACCTTATGAGGAACTGGACCAACGACGCAGAGGGCATGAAAACGACGCGCACAGGGTAAGAAGCTGAAACACACACAGGTTCACATGCGTTAAAAAAAAACAAGTCCAGCATTTAAAAGTAAAGAGAAATATTGTGGTTAAGGTCTTAAATAATTCAATGTATGAGCATGAAGAAGAAGAAAATACTGTTGGAAAATGTGGAAGTCAGAGGAAGTCAGCTGAGTAGATGCTCTTCAGTGTGACCTGGGAAGCGGTTGCGCTCACACAACTAAAGGAATGTGGCCACATGCTTCCCAGACCACGTCCCCATGTTAGTATCTCAAGATGCATTGAGGATGCATTTGCATTCACATGCTTTCCATTAGTGATTGGGTTAAGGCATTTCCTTGTATGTTAATGGTTATAGTGATTGAGAAGAGCAGGTGTAAAGTAAAACCTGTTAACTGTTTGACACACTTGTGGTTTATTCATGGTCTCAAGAGGATCTGCTGGAATATTTCTACCACTTTTACAGACATTATTTATTTATACAACTCTTTAATTTGTCACTCAGCATATAAACATGGGTAAAAGAACAATCTGAGTCTGAGACTCGATGTCATGTACAATCTCAATTATATTGTGTTTATTGTTAATGAATGTTTAATCTCATGCAAGGAACATGAAGCTTAGGCACTCTGTTTCAGGGACATAATCAAAGTACCACCGAGTACAGTTTGTTTTTTACAGTAAACAGAAAATGCCTGATATTTTTTTGTCTTACCTCCAAACCAACCTGAATTTCACCTCACCTGCTCTTGTCATACTGATATCTAAACGTCCAGGGCTTTGTGAAAAAAACAAAACTAAAATTAGTTCTTCACAGTGGAGCTAGAATTAATCTCCTGTGACAAGTGAACAGGCTTATTACAGCATATCATGTTTTAACCATTGCACCTTGATCAACACTTCACTTCAGCTGGATAGAGTCAGAGGCTTTACTTCTATATGAACCTGGAAGCTGTCAAACATCATTATGCTAGAGCTAAAAGAACAAAATAATTAAATTCATTAATTTGTTGTTGATGAGCATTTCATAATTCAATCATAAATGTAATTATTGTGGTTGTTCCTGGTAACGGTTGGAGTCGCTGCAGTCATTTAAACCTACTGTACCTGCACAACTTGTTCTTTTGCATCATCGCATATCGGAGCTTTCTGTCAAAGCAACAACAAGGAAGGCTTTAAAATTAGGTGGATTTTTAAAAAAGAAGTTAAAATAACTGAAAATGAATGAATTAATGAAACAGAACAGTTAAGGCCACCCTTGGTGTTTAGCTTTGAATCTGGATTAGCTAAAAGGCTACTGCTGTAGAATCTCTGTTTTCAGGGAGACATAGTATGTGTAATGCAGGTCACCACAGCATTTCCCATTCAAATAAAATAATAAATTGTGAGAGGCAGCAACAGGTCTAATATGATGCTTGTTGTTGAAGTTCAGTTTCCAAGATATATTTCATATTTTTCACTATTTCCTGATCCACTATTTTAGACTAAACAGTCAGATAGTTGATAATAATAATCTTCAACATTGAATAATTCAATCATGTTCATCAAAAGTTATACTTGCTGCACTTTAATTCAAATCTTAGAATCATTTGATTTGCGACCAGCTAGAGGCAATCTCCTTTACCCTGCGGTCGATAACTGCATGTTGCAACGTTCACTGCCTCCAAATTAGAAAACTTTTCTGTTGTTTATAAAGCAGAGGGCGTCGAAGAATTAGGTTTGAAGTCGGAAATTAAACAAAGGAAGAGAAAAAAATGAAAAGACAGATCAGTAGCAGTTGCTACGGGGTCTAATAAGCTTCTCTCATTAAGGATGATGCATTAATTAAGGCACGGGCGATTATTTACCTGACTGACTTTCTATGAGAAGGGTAGGGGGAGAAGTAATGGTTATGGAGGTGAGCCGACAGCAAACTAATTCAACTTCACTTTTATTGTTTTGTTTGTCTCTCCTTAAGTCCTTTTTATTTTTCTGTAGGATTTGCAGAATTACTATGAAATAGAAAAGCATTGGGAACTTAAGTGTAGAAATATAAAGATAGACAGAAAGGGAGAGTGAGTTCTTCATGCAGTGTGTGTGTGCGTGTGTGTTTTCCCCTTTGGCTCCATTACCATCTCATTGATTCATGGTTATGGGTTAGCTGTCTCCGCTAGCAAAATTATGTTTGCCTAAAAACAATTATCAAGCATCAAAAGCCACACCACAAGTTTGTTTCCAAGTCAGTGCATTGTGTGCTTATGGGTGGGTGTGTGTGTTTTGGAAGACAACAACAGACTTTCTCCCGAAGGAGAAGGGATCTAAATCAACATGGTGCCGTTGTTGTTGTCACATACACACACACACGCACAAACACACACACAGTCCCACACAGAGGGTCTGAAGCCAATTGTTATGGTGGGCGGTGTGACACAGCCTTTATCATAGGATTTAATTATAATAAAAAGCTTTCATCAAGTTCTTTTCTTTGTGTACTTTAGCCTGTAATATGTGTGTTCATTTACAGTGAGTCATTTAATTATTAATGGTATTTTACAGTGTGATGCAAAATAAAAAAGCATGGAAACCTCTGCACGACAATGCTGTGGCCTGCTCACGGTGCTGGTTTATTTTGTTTCATCTTTAAACTTAATGTTTATGTAGTGAGGGGGTTCAGTGCTCCTATGCTAATTTTTGCACTCGTTTTACTCTTCTCTATTGTATAAATGGCCTCCCTGTAGCTTGTGAGTAGAGCCACAGTTTGACTGAGATGCCGCTACAGTCACTGGAACAGTTGGGGACGGAATTCTTACTCAAGAGCATTTTAATGGTCCATTTTCCTTAGTAGCAATGCTTTAAACTGATTTTGGCGAAAACTTTATGCTCATGGGATTCATATGAAGATGCAAGATATTGCATTTGATACTGATTCAAACTAGGTCTGCCCTTTCTTTTCCCCATTTTCTGAATACATCCCTATAGTGCGTCACACAATAGTTCGCAAAATTGCAGGAAAAAAATTGTAGGACATCTGAATAAGAAGTCACAGTCTAAACCACCGAGTATTATGTGTCTGAAGCGTTTTATATTATTCCCAATCTATAGGTGAGTCACCTCTTTATCAATCTCTCCGAGTCACATCTTTGTCTCTCTGTCTATGTCCTCTTTAGAATAAGTGTTATTTGAAAATAGAAATCTCTGTGCGTACATAATGAAAACAGCTTAGTGTTAGTGGTGTCAGCAGACCATGAAGCTAATATTTGTTCTTGTATTTGAGCCAACTTTAAGATCTATTTCACTATTCCAGTGAATATGGTTTTCATCAGGGGAAATGGCAGAAAGCTTAACTACTGTTGAAAGATGTTTGTAGACCAATTTACAAAATTCACAAACTGTAGGAGAGTTCCAGCAGCAGGCAATCACACCTTTGTTGGTAAGAATAATAACCATACTTAGGTATGTGGAACGGTCCCAATTAGGCACAAAAACTCATTGGTTTTGGTTTAGGTTTTAAAATAACTTTTCCCTTAAGGCAAGAGTGAAAAGTGAGTCGTCCTCTTTGAACTCTGGGTGTTGTGAGTTTTGATGGTGCTCCAGATCTACAGATGATAAATAAGGCACAGTGGTCTGTCTCTGATCAAGGTGAACAGGATGTCCTGTTCCCTGTTACAGGAGAAAAGGATTTTTCAGAATTGAAGCTAATTGTTGCTTTGTGTATTGCTATGACAACCCTTGTTAGCGCCAGGACTGTATTGTGATCAAACCATCAGGAAACCATTTTCCTCTAACGCTTGCCTTTGACTTGATCAACAAAATATATCTTCCATTCAGTTCTCATTTAATCACACTAAATTTTGATAAGGACAACTAAAATGTCCTTGAAGTGTTGGAAAAAAAATTGGACTAAGAAAGTAACTTATTAGTGTTGCAAATTCTCAACAAGACCAACAATTGAAGTGAATTAAAAAGACTCTCGATCACATAGAAAGTGTAATGCATCTTTATGTCATATGTAGCACAGCTGTGCAGTCCTCACTATGCCATAGTCATTGGCATCCATCTATCTGTTTGTTTTTTCTGTATCTGCTCAAACAGTTCAGCATCAGGGTGCTGACTTGTATTGAAAGAGTGAAAGGGGATGTAGGTCCAGGTTTGCAGTCTATCATAGTGCTAACAAACACAGAAGAACACAATCACACTCATATTCATACCCACAGAGAATTTCCATGTGGTCTTATTTGCATATCTGCGGACTAAGAAATAAACCCACATAAAAACAGGGAGAACGTGCAAACCCCACACAGAGTCTCAGAATTAAGATTTGTGGGTTTAGGAAAAGATAAAACTTCACTGTCTGAATCATTTCTCTGTATTGATGAGTGTGCAAATGTGTGCATGCATGTGTGCCAGTGTGTCCAGCCAGCTGTTCCCTGCAGTTCTTTACTTTTTCCAGTCGAGAAAATGTTCTTTCCTTCTAATGAGGGTTTGAATTCAGAGGGAACACAATCCAACTTGAGAATCTAAATGTTTTCATTTGTTACTTTGATATTCCATTTCTCCTACACACACATAAACACTTGTCGCATTCACACGAGAGGTCTGTGTGGGGGAATATATTTAGAGTACACCAAATAACTAATAAGTCAAGATGTGTAATGTGTTTTATGTCCTTCTGAAAACCAAACCAAGTTCACGTTTAACTTTGCCAGTCATTACATGTGAATCAGGTAAAGTTGCAGTGAACGTTTCATGCTGTTTTACCGAGAAAAACTTGGTTGATCGTTTTGGCTCAGTCAAGTTTTTGGCAACTTTTGCTTTGTTTGTGTCGCTTAGCAACACACAAGTTTGAATTCAACAAAATTGACTTTAATGGTTATTGTTACTCATACAGAAGTCAACCTTGGCATGATGATGTTACATTCACACTCCCTTGTTCTAAACTTAGCACCTATGAAATAGTTTTCCTGGAATTGTAGTCATAGCAGCAGCCCTTTTCTGTGCTTTCCTGTGGACACAATCATGTGCAGGCAA